GGATGATTCCCTCAGGTGGATGAGGGGTCTCCTCACAGGTACAAACCTTTCAGAAATAAGGGAGAGGATGGACGCTGCCTGCAGGGAGCTGGGTAGTGCTGGGAGATGGAAAGGATGATAAATTCCAGGGGTTTTAGGTCACCCGGGGGTTTAGGTGAGCCCGGAGACAGGAGAGTAGGGCATGTCCCTGTGCAGGGTGTGCGCGGCTCCCAGAGCAAACCCGGGGCAGAAGGGCCTGCTGTGATCAGTGTAATTTTACAGAAATACCTGAGCAGACAGATAGTGTTAAGTTCTGAGCTATTAGTGCAGCAAAGGGAGCCCGGCCCCGCGCGGGTTTGTCACCAGAGGGTGCCAGAGCCCCGCGGCTGCTCCGCGCACCGGGGAGCGCACGGGGAATGCACCGGGAGCGCACGGGGAGCGCCCCGGGGAGCGCACCGGGGAGCGCACCTGGGAACGCACCGGGGAGCGCACGGGGAACGCACGGGGAGCGCACCGGGAAGCGCACCGGGGAGCGCACCGGGGAATGCACCGGGAGCGCACGGGGAACGCATGGGGAGCTCACGGGGAGCGCATGGGGAGCTCACGGGGAGCGCACGGGGAATGCACCGGGGAATGCACCGGGAGCGCACGGGGAGCGCATGGGGAGCGCACCTGAGCCCGAGCCCGCCGAGCCTCCGGGGCTGCGGCACCGCCAGAGCCGCCCCAGCGGCAGCACCGTCCTGGCAGTGCTGCCCGGAGCCACTCGCGTGTGCTGGTTGTGTCCAGGGTTCGCTTTCCAAGTGGCTGGAGGTGACTGATGGGTAAGAAAAGTGAAATGAGCAGGGAGAGCTGGGTCGTGGAACTCTGCAGACATGCAGGGAGATACATTCTTTGGTATCCAGGGCTTCCTCCAGGGGTTCAGGTTGTACTTATGCCCTGGGGTCACATAAATTTGCTTTTTGATATTAGGAACTTGGACAGGAATTCCATAAAAAATACATTCCTGTCAAGCTGGCGGGCTTCACCATGCTGAGGGGACAGCCTTGAAAATCCAACAGACTCTGACAGACATCTGTTGATGTTTTGTCAGCTGCTTTCCAGTTTTAATGTCTGAGCTAATGAGGCAGAGGGTGTTCCCTGGAGCACTGTGGCTCTGCTGGCTTCTGCCATGAGTGTTCTGCTTTGAACCTTCAGCGCTTCCAGTGAATCTTATTATGGCATGAATGGTGGGAAATTATTAACTTACTCCCATAAATTATCGAAAGTCAATAATCATTTAATAAAAATTCCATTCAAGTGAAGTGATCTCCTTAGAATAAGCTCCAATCAAATGAATTTATACAGGAGGCAGGGTTGTGTCCTGGCCCCTTTGCTTCTGTGGTGCTAGTGGTCCTGGTGGTCCTGAGCAACCCTGTCCAGATGGGAGCTTGTGGAGCCCTGCTGGTTTCAGGGCCCTGGAGGGGAGGGAACGTAGCCTGGGGTTCTTCACACAGGCCCAGAGTCATGGCAGGCACTGGCTGAACACTGCCTGGTTTGAATTTTCTTTTTTTTTTAATTTTTTGTCAGTGGTTTTTTCCATATCCTTATCACAGCAAAGTGATGTTTCTATTTCTGAGTAGTTAAAGATTTATGTGATAATGGGAAATCTGTAAAATTAGGTGGAACTGCGATTTGCATTTCAGCCTGAGGTGCAGAGGGGCTGCAGCCTCTTCATCACTTCTGCCCACTCTGAAAGAACATATGCTACAGGCACAGCTTGTGAAAGGGCTTGGTAGGCAGGTCATTTGTGACACACACTGCAGCCTGAGATACCAGAATTTAAGAGATTTTGAATGGTGTAGCTTAGCTGGGACATTGTGAAGAATGAAGCTTGTATGAAGTTTGTGAAGAATGAATGCTGGGTTTGTAACTGATGGGAGCTAAATTGAAGCTAAACTGGGTTTGAGTACAGAATCCAAAGTCTGTAAAAGCCAATGAAAAGGCACCCATGATCTTCAGAGGATGCTTTTGCAGGCACTCCTAGGACTACAGCTCCTTCACCCACCTCCTAACTCATGGTTTTTCTGGGGAGGGGTCCATGACACTGGAAATTTCAGAGCAATGTGCAGCTTCCTCCTGAGGGGCAGCTCCGATCTCTGCTCGCCAGCTCAGGACATTCTGTGATATCTTTTTTAGGTGTGTGTGCCTGTATGTTCTGTAACACCAAGGCAATAAAAGGAAGGTGTAAAAATGTGAAATAGGCTTCAAAATCCCCGTATGAAGACGCCTACAAATAAGTACTGCTTTGCAGTGTTTGTTTTCTTGTTTCTAAAGATTTAAGTTACTCAGTTACTCTCACTTCACATTTTCAAATATTTTCCATACCCAGGCAGACTAGAAGCCTCCTTTTTTGTTTTGGGGACATTTTCTGAGAAGAGATAAGATTTTTTATACAGTCACTTCATCACGTTTCTAAGCATTAAGGGAAGCACCAGCTCAGGCAGAGCTTGAGATACCAACCCAGAGCTGATCCAATGGAGAGTTAACAGACTGTCAGGAGGGAGACTTCCTGCTTTTCCCAGCATGGGTCAGGAACACCTTGTTCACTCCAGCCCAACAATGGCCCTGCTTGAACTGAAATCACTCAGAAGGAAACCAGTGGCCCACAGTTCCCTGTCTGACAGTGGCTGTGGCCTCAGCTGTTACTGAGAAAGCAGAATGGGAGCTCTGTTCATACCATCCCCATCCACCTGGGGGTTGATTTGCCCCTGGGGCAGGTGTGAGCTACAGGCAGGGCAGGTATTAGACACTGTCCATCCATCCATCTATCCATCCATCCATCATCCTTCCATCATCCATCCATCCATCCATCCTTCCATCATCCATCCATCATCCATCCATCCATCCATCATCCATCCATCCATCCATCCATCCATCCATCCATCCATCCTCCTGCCTCAGCACGGTGTTAGTCAGGCTGTCTGTGTGCACCCTTAGCTCTTCTGGCTGGAATACAAACCAAAGCAGTCCTGCATGGCACCAGCCATGATCTTCTTGATCATCACCCACCCCTCCACACTGATCACAGCATCCTGCAGGACTGAGCACATGCAGTTAATCTTCTCCCTCTGGACACACTTGATTTAGACCTAATGGAAATAGCTACAAACTGGATCCTGACCCCAAAAATAGCAGACAAGGAATGAGAGAATAGCCTTTTGAATAGAAAACAATGGAATTACATTTCATGTTAATTCCTGAATTACTCTCATAGGATGTCAAAAAGCAAGGCTTGAGGGATTTCAGGTCATGTCAAGGTCAAAAGAAGCCCCAAGGAGAAATTGTGACTTTTTTTCACTGTTCAAAGGAATTGAAGTGCCTCAAAGTGTCTTCTGGTGAGAAACTTCTGCTGTAGTAGAAGCCCCGTCTTGGGGCTTGTTAGAGCTGCTCTAGATCTGGCTGTGACCCCAGGATGCTGCTGAGAGGGAGGCTTTGGTTCCCTGTCCCCCAGGAGTCCTCAGGTCTTGCTGGGATTCCCATACAGTGATTTTTGAAGGGAATGTCCTGAGATCCAGTCCAAGCTCTGCCATCTGCCCAAGCCTGTGTTTGTTGGTTACTGTGGTGGGGTCCCGTGGGACACAACCTGGAAAGCCACTGCTTGTCAATGGGGAAATTCTTCCCCTTTGCCCAACTGCTGAGCAGAGCCAAATTCTTCAGAGTCCTTGACCATGAATCTGCCATTTCAGTGGGTTTGTGTTTTTTGACAGATCATGGATGAATTACAGCCCTTTTTGTTTTCTAGGAGACCAATGGGGTAAAGTGTGTTTAGGCTAAACATATTTGTTCCATCTTTGGTATCTTCTCCTCATACATGCCTGGGTGGTTTTTTGTTTTGTTTTGTTGGTTGTTTTTTTTTTTGTTTGTTTGTTTGTTTTTGAGCTAAAGACCTTAAAGAAAGCAGGGGCCCTTTGCTTGCACAACATGTTGAGGTTAATTCTGACCCTATGGATCATATCCACAGCTGCTTGCACTTGGCAGGTTTCCTCCCAAAGATGACTCTCCCACTGCCTGCTGAGAATCCAAACCTTTGGAATGGCCCTGAGCAACATACACCTTGTGCTAGATGTGGGGAAGAGACTTCCAGAGTCACAGATCATCTGTGGAGAGCAGGAGGCTGTTCCTGGGAGGCCATCTGGATGCGCTGCTTGTTCTGTGTTGTGTCCTGCTCCCAGGGGCCTGGCTCCACAACAAACCCAAGGTGCTGCTGTGCCTCCAGCCAGCACAGGGACTTCAATCACTTGTTGTTATTGCCTCTCTGTTTGTGTTTTTCTAAGCATTTGTGTTCCACCAGCACACTCAGAGTGAGTGCTCTCGAGGGGGAATTTCCTTCCTGGTAAACAATCCTGCAGTGTGATTCAGCAGGAAGGATGTGGTGGTTAAGGCACTGGACTGGGATTTGGGAGACAGGGGTTCTGTTCCCAACTCTACCACAGTCAAGATGCGATGATGAGTGGAAGGGCAAGCAAACAAAGAGGAGGAGCTGTGTAGCTGTGGCAAAAACACACTTTTACATGGCCTGTTAGTCCGGATTGGGGTTAGGTAGGTCTGGGGTTTGAAGAGAATCATAGAATCTGCTGAGTTGGAAAGGACCTCAGGGTCATCGAGTCCAACTCTTCACCGTGTGCAGGAGTTTTGTTTGGCTACTCAAGTGAAGACATTAGGGACTCCTGTTTGTGCAGTTCAAATCTGGAACTCAGCTGATTCCAGGAACCCAGCTGTGTTTTTAACTCCATGTTGTTTTACCTTCCATGGGCTCTCAGATGCCACTTTCCAGGGCTTCTTGGTTGACTCCATTCAGTTTCCCAATGCATTCTCTGATCTTCAGGCACATGTCCTATGGCTCCTACACCAAGTTGCACATGCATGTAGGTTCTCCCCTCTCCTGCTAAATTCAAGGACAACAGACCACACACAAGATACTCTTTTTCTCACACAGGGTGAAGCTCCTACAGTTTGACAGTAACTCTACATTCTCTTTCCAGAAACAAGAGCTTGAGCTGCATCTCTGAGTTTAGACCTCCAACCTCAGCATCCTGATCTGGTGCTGCCTTTGGGAGGATGAATCAGGACAGTTACTCAAGTGATCAGCCCACGGGTGAGTTTTCATTCAGCATTATTTGCTTTCCATTTATTTTCTTACTGCTATTGGAGAAGAATGCTGAGTCACAAATAAAGCAAAACATGTGAATCAATGCCAAATTGCATGCCATAAAGATTATTGGATCTTTGAGGTTTCCTGTCCATATCTGGGTATCAGCATTCTTAGAATTCTAGTCCAGGTTGAAAATTTTTCTAGCAATTTTTTTTCTGGAAGTTCTCACCAGTTCAGAAGAACACAGGGATTTTATTACTGTGTTAGACAACTCATTCTGCTATTTGCCATTACTTAGTTTTCTCATTAATTGCATTGGTAATTGGTTACCCTTTGCAGTAAGGGAAGATGTGCACACACCATTGTCAGGTATGTCGCGTCAAGTCCGAGGGTCAGGGTCCCTGCTGGAGAGATTGGATAGACAGGAATTTGTTACTTCTGGCTCAGACCTGCCATAAATTTGCTCTCTTCTTTCATCCCCATCTTTGGCTGTGGGAGCTCAGCCTCACCGAGTGCTGCTGGCAGTTTGTGCTGGGACAGGCGGATGCCAGGGGCTGTGCCTGCGGCCTCCCAGGCTCTGCTCAGCCTGGGCTTTTTTGGAAGTGTCAAGGGGCATTCTTAGCTCTGACGTGAGGGCTATTTTTTGACAGTTCCCATTGTTCCCCACTCTTTGTTCATGGGTGAGGTCTTTTTGTCTGAGGCCTTTGTCAGAAATAGAGGCTGTTAGGAGAGCTGTCTGCTCACAGGTTGGGGGAGTTTTCTTTTGTTGTTGAGTCCTGAGAATTTCTTTCTTGCTTTTACAGACTTGCTTGGGCAAACTTGCCCAGACAAATGAGGGGATTGCTGGGATCTCCCCTTGCTGGGCCTGCAGGGAGAGGGGTCCTCAGAGCCACCACCCATGTGCCCTGCTCTGGCTGTCTCAGGCCACATGGCTGGGGCAGAGCAATTTGGGGTTTTGAACATCTGCCTACACTAAAGCCCTCACCATTGTCCATGGGTTTGAATCTGGGGCTCAAAAAGAGAAAATTTTAGAAAAATTCCTGTGGTAGTATGAAATATCTACTCTCTAATACTCAGCACGTACTTTTGTTACTGTGAACAGGTGATGATGACACATCAGGATGTCATGGAGATTCATGAATCATCCACAGAAGGACCTAGAGGCTGGGTTTGGGGAAAAAGACATTCAAGTCTCTGTAACACATCCTGGGTGCTCGTGAGAAACGTCTGGTCAGAATATTCATAGATTGCTCATTGCAGCCTTCTTTTTTGTAGGTGTAATAAATGCTGTGGTTTGAGTTCAGATCCACTCTCTAAAACAGGCACAGGAATGAATCTGTCCAGAGGGACTAATTTTCAATGTATCACTTATGTACATTTTACACCTCCTGTTGAAGTGCTTAGTCCTGGTTGCTCTTGGAGTCAAGTCCTGGGTTAGACAGGTGTGATCGCTGGTGATTTATATCCTGACTGAGGATAAGGATCTTCCGATCTGGACCTCCATTTGTTCAGCTTCCAGCACCACCTATTGAGTTTAACATTGTTGGTTCATTTCATTCTCTGAGTTGCCACTGGAGCTATACTTAGAGAGGAAGGATATTATAATCTTGTGAAAGATTAAAATACTGTTACTGTAATCCAGCTGGAAGGGGAGACCTTTTCTCAGGGTGAGAGACAGCCAAGGTTTTTCCCATTCTGTCCTCCCCTTACATGCAGGAAGGAAGTACGGGCAAAGGCCCCCTGAGCTTCCTGACGGCTCGGGAGCGCGTTTCCAGACACAGCCCTCTCCTCCATCCATCACAGCCGGCCAAACAATCGCCAGCGCAAGGGGAAAACACCCGGCCGGGATAAACACCGGGAGCAGAGCTTGGGGACACAGCCTGGGGACACAGCCTGGGGACACAGTCAGGGGACACAGCCTGGGTGCAGAGCCTGGGTGCACAGCCTGGGAGCACAGCCTGGGAGCAGAGCTTGGGGGCACAGCGTGCGGACACAGCCTGGGGGCACAGCCTGGGAGCAGAGCCTGGGGACACAGCCTGGGGGCACAGCCTGGGAGCAGAGCCTGGGGGCACAGCGTGGGGACACAGCCTGGGAGCAGAGCCTGGGGACACAGCCTGGGAGCACAGCCTGGGTGCACAGCCTGGGGACACAGCCTGGGAGCACAGCCTGGGGGCACAGCCTGGGAGCACAGCCTGGGAGCAGAGCTTGGGGACACAGCCTGGGAGCAGAGCCTGGGAGCAGAGCTTGGGGACACAGCCTGGGGACACAGCCCGGGGGCACAGCCCGGGGGCAGAGCCTGGGGGCACAGCCTGGGAGCAGAGCCTGGGGACACAGCCTGGGGACACAGCCTGGGGACACAGCCTGGGGACACAGCCTGGGAGCACAGCCTGGGGACACAGCCTGGGGGCACAGCCTGGGAGCAGAGCCTGGGGACACAGCCTGGGGACACAGCCTGGGGACACAGCCTGGGAGCAGAGCCGGGGGACACAGTCAGGGGACACAGCCCTGCAGCCCAGCACCAGCCAGCTCCTCTGAGGCTGGGCCTGGCAGCAGGCACTGCACGTTGGCTGCCCTTCCTTTTATCGCTAAGTATCTGAATAATCAAAGTTCCCCTTCAAAGAAGCACCTCAACAAATCAGAAAGGGATGAAGGGAGGCAAAGGGCTGATGTTTGCTGAGGAGCTGCTGTGCTGGCAGGTGGTGGGGCCTGGGGCCAAGGAGGTGCTGGGGATGCTCTGGGGTGCAGAGCACCCTGGCTGATGTGTGGGTCACTGTGGGTGCTGGGATGAGGCAGAGCTTTCTGTCAGCTCTTCAGGGCAGTGCTGAGGCAAAGCCATCTGTGATGCCTTAAGGAGGGAGGAACCCTCCTTAAGTCAGGTGGGGGCTCACCTTTGGCTGGATCACCTTTGCTGAATAGGATTCTATCCAAGAAGAGGCTCAGATCAGGGATCTTTTTCCCTGTATCACTGCTTTTGTTTAAGTGCTACATTAAAATATTTGGGTCATATTTGCAGATCTCTCTGCTCTGTAACCTGTTTTTAATCATTCATTAAACCAACTATTTGGGTTTATATTTTTCAGTTTGGCTTTAGTATCCTCACAAACTTGAGCTGGGAATTTCTCCCTACAAGTTCCTGAAGCGGGGTTGTAGTGAGGTGGTGGTTTGGTCTCTTTTGCCCTGTGCCAGGAGACAGGCCAAAAGGAAACAGCCTTAGTTGCAACAGGGAAGGTTCAGATTAGATATTAGAAAAATTTTTTTCACTGAAGGAGTGGTCAGGCTCTATGCTGACTACATGCAGGGGCACCTCCTCTTCCCAGCTAAATGTGCCTTTCTGGGGTTCTTTCATTCCTTCTCATCTGTTTCACATTTTTATTGTCCTTTGTCTGGGCTTGCAGCAGGCGTGGGGTGGGCAGTAATCTCCTTAAATGCTTTTACAACACTCTGCAGGGACACAAATAATTTTTTATTTAAGGTCTATAAAGAATGCAGGATTATGGAACCCTTATTTTAAAGCTGAAGGTATTTCTGCAGTGCTAACACTTATTTTTAAATCTATCAGAAATGCACATAAGCAACAGCAAGTGAAAAAGAAAAGGTAAGAAGTTCCTGGGGATGGGATGGATAATAAACAGCAGCCCTGGCTGCATGGTTATGAAAATATTAACCCAAAAAATTTACCCATCTGGCCTAGAGCTAGAGAACAGCAGGTTTCCCCATGCTCAGTGCTGGGTGTAGATGCTGGAAGTTGAAGCTGTCAACTTTAAAATAAAAGAAGCCAAACTCAGCAACCTGGTTTCAGGTCCTGCTGCAGACCCCAGTCCCCAGCCTGCTGGTGGCATTTGGTACTCTCATTTCCCTGTTTGGGAGAGCATTAATCTTCCCCTTTGTGAAGCTGTGTGACTGTACTCATGTTAATAGCAAAAGTGCTCATGTTAATAGCATGCAGCATTTTAAAATTTCCTTCTAGAAAATAAATGATTGTGTGTTTGCTTGTCCTGGACATCCTGTTTGGGAGGAGGCACCACTGGAGTGGTCATGGGTGTGATTCTGCTCAGGTCCTTCATGCATTGATCTCATCATTATTTCATTAACCTAATGAAATAGGTTAATGGTTATTTCATTAACCTAATGATGCCCTGTGACAGCAAGGGGTTAAAGAAGAGACAGGACTGTAATTTGTTGGCAGTGTCCCATGAAGTCCAAGAATGCCAGCTGGAGATGAACCCACAAGCAATGAGGGGAACGTGGTACCCTGGAACAGGCACTGAGGGGGTTGTGTCAGGACACTGGGCTGGAAGGACTGGGAATTCTCAAAGAAGGGAGGGCAGGCAGGGACTGCCAGCCTGTCCTGACATGTGGCTGTTGTGGTTCATGGCTCAAGGGAAGTCTTGGGACTGCCAGAGTCTTAGAAAAGACAAAGAAATAAGCTTGTGATGGTAAGTGCTGTTTGCCCAGGGATACAAAAACACCGTGTACCTGGGAAGAATCATGTTTAGATTGGATATGTGGTCATACAGCAGAAACTGATGGATAATGAAAGAGTTTTCCAGGAATTGCCTGATGGTCTCTACATTCCTCTTTGCAAAAAGGCATGGAGTGTAACAGCTGCTTCCACCCACTCTGGTTCTTTCACATAAATCTAGTGAAGAAAAGGGTCAAGTTAGATCCAACTGTCCCAAATACCTTCCCAAACCCTAGCAAGGTTCAGGTAACAAGCCTTGGTGGAAGAACATCCTGTGAAATCAAACAAGCACTAGTTATGAGCGAGACAGGAGGTGACACTGTCCTGCAGCCCAGGAGCACGGTGCTGCCACTCGGTGCCTGGTACCCTGCAGTGCCCTGGGAGGCTGCAGGGCTCCCTGCTTCCTTCTCGTCCTGCTGCACAGCCTGGCTCCTGGGCAGATGTGCTGGTGCTCTGGGGGAGCGGGGCTGCCTGCACACAGAAGCACAGCTCTCCAGCCCAGGTGTTGGAGCACAGCCCTGCCCGGCTCTGTGGGCAGGGA